TATATATATATATATGTTGTCCAAAACAATTTACCAACGCCATACGTTGTTCAAAACACTTTACCAATGATCATATTAACTTTTTTGAAAAAATCTTGCACATACTCCGCCGACGCGCAGCCGAGTCTACCAACGGAAAGTTTTTCCTTTTAAATAACTTAAAATACCTTACTTGGACCACCATGATCGCCCACCATACACGGGCCAACGGTAGAACCCAGGGTGTTTTAAGCTTTTGGTAAAGTTTTAAATTAATTCCTGTTCTGTTGTACCGGCTAACACGAAGCGGAGATAACCCTCTCTCCAGTCCAATATTCAAGTTCGCAAACTTTCCTTTTCCTGTTTGCATGGTGTGAGAGGCCAACAACGAAGTATTACATTGCATAGATGGTTTTTACTGACTGATTGCTTAACAATTTAATATCATCTTAATTAGACGGATCAACATTCCCATGCGCAAACACATACGGGTCGGGGAACGGGAAGTGGAAGAGCACGCCTTCACACGACGTTGGGCACGTCCCACATTCGAAATACATCACACTTGTTACCATCATTTCTGTAATTCCAACATACTATGACTGATTTTCACTCCAATCTGAAAATTCAGATTTGGCATTTGTTTTTCACCGGACAATTTGCATCTCAATTCGAGTCACCACTAATACATGCACATTCCTAATATCGAACTTGACATTAACTGGCAATCAGTCTGGTTTTTTGTTTTTTTTTCCCCCTAAATGTGGACTGACATTGATTGGCGACCAGTTAATTCTTTGTCTATATATCAATGGAGATAAACTGTCGCTCACAATAACACCAATGAGGACAAACAGGCTCATCGAAGGTTGCGTGTGTGCCTGTTTGCGTTTTGTTGGTATTTGTCACCCTCTGTTGCCCAATGTGGGTATTACAGCCACTAAAATTGAACCAGTCGTGAATCGCGTCCAGTGTAAATGCCATCCCGGTAATTAATCCACGCACAGTCTGAGCCCATTGACTTACATATAAAATCCTTACCACGACAAGCTTTTATACTCGTTACATGACTTTTTTTTTAAATTCCACACAAGTGATAATATCAGGAGTGTTTTAACTACCGTTGTACATTAAAAAAAAAAGTCTCATCCTGAATAAAACTTGTGCGCGTTGTGATGTGATGTCGTGAGGGAAGTAGGCAGCAGATGGCGCTGAGCGAGGCCGAGCCGGCCAGGCGGCTGCCGCAGTGGAGCGGCAGATGGTGGAGCAGCGCGCTGATGGATGTTCTGTCGAAAGCAGTCGACGAGGAACCTGCTGCTCTCACGCACACACCACACGCACGCACTATGATGGATACCGTGGAGGATGATTTATCAGGCATGTTTTTTTCCCCCCTCTCCATATTTTTCCGTTTGTGCTGGGGGGGAAAAATGTAATCGCTGTTTCATCAATCATGGGAACGTTAATCAATTAAAATGTCGTCTTAATCAAACTACAATTGCTGACTCCCGCACTTAAGTCTTGGCTAATTCATCAAGTTTCATCCAAAACTCTCGTAGAGTGATGGCACAGATAAAAAGTCTAGGCCTGCTGGAAAGTGATGGTTCACTAAAACGAGCCAAATTTGCTGGGGCGTCTGGGTCAGCCGGTGTCCGATTTTCGGCACCTTGCAGGTGGGCAACACCCCTCCTCTGGAGCTGACCCATATCATGATGCAAGATCTGAAACAGCATTCATAACAATTATTAGTGATTTGGATTGATCGGGAAGGACGACTACTCATGATAATCTACACCTTACAACAGCGGTCCCCAACGTTTTTTGCCCCACAGACCGGTTTAATGTCAGACAATATTTTCCGGGACCGGTCTTTAAGGCTGGATAAATACAACAGAATATTATGATTTGACCTGCATGAAAACTGTGGTCTTTTCGAGACATAATAAACACGAATCATGACATGAGGTATGTCCCATCTGGCCGTAACACTCTCTGGTCGCTATAGTAATGTTTAAACGTGCCTTCAAAATAAGATACGCCGCAAATACACAGTGCATGAAAAATACGACTCAGCATCGCCGCATATTATGCAGAGTGGGCTTGGTGAGTGGTAATCTCCCGTTGAGATAAATCCGTATTTTAAGTAGGACTCTTAATACTGTCCATTAAATTTAGCCTTCTTTTTCTTGAAAGTCGTAGGCTCCTCTTCTGTCAGCGCTCTTTTCCCCTTCCCAAAGACGTTTGTTTTTTGACTCATTTTGTGAGATTCTGGGTTTCATTTTAGCGGTAACCTGTCACGTGACCAAGAAGCGCGCCTTGACCTGCGCCAAAAGTGACATATTATGGACGGCTGTCACAGAGAATATGGTAACTTTTCAAAATGAAACAGCGTTCAGATTCCAAAATGAATAAAACAGAAGTAATGTGAGTTAGTCATTCTTTCTCTGCGGCCTGGGACCAAATGACCCACGGACCGGTAACGGTCCGGGGCCCGAGGGTTGGGGACAATTGCGTTATGAAATAGAAATCAAAAGAACATCTTGAAATAATACACAAAGTTAAAAAAAGGCTACTGCATGCACGCACAGAATATTCATGCGACAATCTCCCCTATCGTGAGTTATTCATCATAATTGCCACTTTGCAAAACATAAATAAACACAACAAGAACGAATCAAGTCAAACAAGTCAATGGAAACGTTCATGAGAAAAATGACACACTAACTACAAAGCGGTTGCTATCATATATTAGACAGTACAATAGATATAAACTCAATGACCTAAAGTCATCCACACAGCCCACCCCAAATGTATTCCGCGCATTACTGTTTAAACGCGACCGACGCTCCCTCCAGTTCTTCATGACAGCCGCCACGATGTGCAAGGAAATGAAACACGACTTGGAAAAGTCACGGAATGGCCCAGTGCGAGGAGTGAAGCAGCACTTACGTAAGCGAGCGTGATGTTGTTCACATTTACGCCACCAGAGGCCGCTGTCCCATACACCTAAACTCGAAATCAATCGTCTTGCTCTCGTCTCATTTAATCTCACTTTCTCGCACACTCTAATTTTGTCACAATTAATCCAATTAGTATAATTTCAATGAGTTGTCAAAACAGACAAATGAATTATAAGCATTAGTGGCTTCTTATTCAGATGCTTCTTCTTCTTGAGCTTCTCGTGACTGCTCCGCTTTGGCCTTTGAGAATGCCCGCTCATCTTTTTTTTTTTTCCTCCAGCACCGGCGTCTGAGATTAATTATGGTCGTATAAATACTTGAGTGAACTGACAAGCAAACTGGGTTGTAACCGGGTCGGATCCGCTCGTAATTTGCCTCATGAATCATCTGCGTTCATTTCATTTGCTGCCAAAAAAGGACACCAGGGAGTCCAGAATATTTGCAGTGCCCCCCTCCTCCGCTTTAGATCTCATCTAAAGCCACTGTGGACAAGTAATTCACCAAATATCAAGTATTTAATGTCATTGATGGTGTAGTGGTTCACATGGTTGACTTCATTCCACTCAGTAAATTATCGACAACTGTACAGGGGACCAAGGGAACTTTGCAATTATTAAAATATGGTTCGACATAATCTAATCCATATGACACACAGTTGATGATCGTATAGTTGCTCAAGGAGCTCAAGGAGCAGACAGCCAGCATGGGATTGATTACCATACACAGAAGATGCCACTCCTGACTTTTTAGTTGTCATCTAAACATCTAAATGGATTCCTAAACATCTGACCCACTAGGTCAGCGATAGTGTAATGGTTGCCGTGTTTGACTTTAATGCAACCAGCGTGGAATCGACAATCATCACAAGCACTAGGGCAACATTTCAAATTTCTTCACTGTTTCGACTGATTTCAGTTATGGAATGTGATTCTAGAAAATGTCTGCTTTGTCGGTAATCATGTAGTCGCTCACATTCTTTGTTGAGACTGTTGTGCTTCATGTTATTTCATGATAGACATGCCCAACAAATTTCATGTCATTTGATTAAACTTGTGCTGGGGCTGAGGTTTTTTTTTGTTTGTTTTTTTTGGGAGGGATAAAATGGCCACTTCAAATCAAAATAGCTGATTCCCTGTTCAAAGTTCGAGTGTTACAATGTTACAACACACGTCCACCCAAATTCATGCCCAGCGCTGAAATTAATGTTGGGTGCTAATTTCTCAGACTAACTTTTTATTGTATGCTACTTGGGTGAATTTGGGCGTTTGGTTCATGTGTGGAACCTTTGAAATAAATACTGTATATTTTTAGCGGGATGCTAACCGCTAACACGGAAGAGCAAAGATATGGAGTTAGCAAGAGATGCTACCACTATAGCGCTTACATGACAGACAGCAGCAGACGCCGCCTTGAAGTAGACAAGTTTATTCATGATGATGATGATGATGATGATATTAATAATTACTCATAATTATGATAACGTTAATGTCATAATAAATAGAACTCTTCATCTGAAGCACGGAAAGAGAAGCATACAGAAAGAGAAAGAAACAAAAACACGAGAAGAAGAAATACGGGGAAGGGACGAAGGGAGGAGACATTTTTTTTCAACCTTTCAGTATAGCCATTTAACATTTTTAAAACGTCTTTTTTTTCCTTGAACATTTACAAAATGCAGAAAGCGATAAAGTCTTTAAAAAATCCTTATAAATAAATTTGCAGGGTTTTTTTTGAACAAAATACACCTTTTTGGAGGAGGAAGTTTTTTTTTTTTTCTTGTGATAGGATGAGGTGGGGTGGGGGATATGTACAGAACAGCAGGAGTACAAAGTGCGGGTCGGGGTGTGGGGGCACACATACTGGGTGGTGGTTTTGGGGGTGCTTGGTGGCGATCATTTTGGGAATGGGTATCTGGTGGGGTGCCACCTGGTGGAGCGGAGAGGAACAACCGCCGCGTTGTCGTCGTGCGCGTCAAGCGTTGCTAGCTCATTTCGCACGTGGCTACAAAAGGAGTGGAAGACCAGTCATTGTCATTATGTACAGCCGTTGCCATGTAAACAAACAGCAGGGTTGCCGCAACGCCTCAAAGGAATTGGCGATTTACCCTCTTAAGCCCTGGAAGATGATTTTTGTTTTTTCCCCCTTGAAGACTAGTCAAAGGCTAACCACGGAAATCAGACTGCATACATTTTCTGACACAAAGTATACATTTAGTGAGGGGTACGATGGATAAAACTTTACCGACGATTTGTGAATATGTACAGCTATGCTATGCTAATGGCTAAGATTTGGATTTCAGTGCTGAAGAAGCTACGTAATTGGTAACCAACAAAACAAGAATTAAAGTTTACAAGTCGTACAAAGATGGCATCGGTTCACTTTTTTAGCAGGCAGAGGCTAAACAATGAAAACAACTGATTGATATTTAATTTCCCGACATAAAATGGTACGCCGAGCAAATAAAATCAAATCAAATGAAATGCTTGTGTATTTGGCTGATGTGAAAATATGCCAATGGGTAAGATTTTGACAACGGAATTGTAAAAGTAAAAAAAAAAAAAAAGAATATATATATATATATATATATATATATATTCTTTTTTTTACTGGAACAGTCATAGTCATAATCATACAGTCGTACCAAAAGAGACTCTTTGAAGCAGAAAAACAAAGAAAATCAATTTTGCTTAAATGCAGCAAGAGCACATGCTATTTTGTGAATGTGCATGCAAAAGTAACTACTCAATGGTGCATTTATCAGCCGCACCTATGTGAGCAGCATTCCACACTAGAGGACACATGAGTCAAGTGTGTCAGCTATGCTTGGGAGGTCTGCGACAACTTGGTAGCTTAATACCTTAATAAGCTACCAAAACTTGACATGGCTAATCGGAAATGAAAGGGGAGTATCTGAAACACAATCTTATCATTTTGGTCATAACAGTTTGGGAGGTGTTTGGTATGAATACTCAACTCAGTTTTTATTACCATTTTATGTATTTTTTAATTAACTAATTAATTAATTAATTAATTAATCAGTTTGAATGGTAAGTCAACCAAAAATGTTCTTCACTATAGTCTAAACATTCATTCATTCATTTTCCGATCCGCTTTATCCTCACAAGGGTTGCGGGGGGTGCTGGAGCATATCCCAGCTGTCTTCGGGCACACCCTGAACCGGTTGCCAGCCAATTGCAAGGCACACAGAGACGAACAACCATCCGCGCTC